TCTGAGCAGGGGGTGATCCCTGGGGATCATCTGGAGGAATTCCAGACAAATTCCAGGAGTGCAGAGATCCCAGAGCTGGGCTTCCCTGCTGGCCAGGGCTGTCCATGAACATCTTGTGATCCCAACCCAAGGGCAGCAATTCCTTTTTCCAGCAGCCCTCACTCCTCCAGGCCAACTTCAAAGAGAAAACCAAAATTCAGCCCGAGTTCCCCTGCCCTTAAATGGGGTGAAAGCAGTGGGAAAGCAGGGCAGGGAGCAGCTGGAATTGAGCTCCCTGTGCCAGGCAGGAGCTGCCAGCTGGGCTCAGCAGGGTGGCTGTCCCCAAAAAGGGTCCCTCTGTGCCACCTGCAGGGTGTGACACAGAAATGAAGCCTGGGAGCCCCAGCCCTGCTGTGTGACACCACAACTGCTCCTCGACTCTTCCAGAGGGCTCCAGGGTGAAAGATTTGCAGGTTTTAAGGAAAAAAAAACTTGTAATACCCTTAAACCTTTGTAGCACCTCTCCTTTCCTGGTGTCCAGGTCTTTCAGGAGGGAATGTGACCATTCCTGATGTGCAGAGCTTCTGTAAGGACTTGTTTTGACTCACCTGCTGTTGGTTTGGGAATATTGGACCCAGAGAGAGCCTTGGTGAGGGTAAGAAGGAAGGAGGATGCAGGAGGATGGAGCCAGAGGATGGAGCCATCCCTTGGTGGCTTTGCAGGATGGCTGCAGGTACAGATGGGCTGTGGTGCTCATCCAGATCCCCCCCCATCCTCCACTGCCTGGGTGCTCTTTTCACTGCCTCTCTTTGCACAGCACTAAAATTAATGCCTGAAAATGAGAGTTTGCTTGAAAATAATCTATCATTTGATTATCACTTTAATGCAGGCAGCCCGGGGAACATCTGCCTGTGCCAGGCTGTGTCTCCTCCTGCTGATGTGGGGAATTGCTGGGAAGGGCTGCTGGGGGAACTGGAAGAAAGCCAAACCATTGGAAAATGCTTTGGTGGTGGCTGTGAGGAGGAGGATGAGAGGTGGATGAAGCACCAGGGCCCCACTGCCCAGTTCACTGCCTCTGGTCCCATTTGCTCTGTGGCTACTCACAAATTAAAATGTTCATCTCCATCACATGGAAAAGAATTCTGTCCTCACCAGGAGTGCCTGGCTTTGCACTGGGGCAGCGGGCAGCAGCATCTGACCCCTCCTGACCTCACCCCTGCCAGGTCCCACCTCCCAGGACAACCAGGGACAAGAGAAAAACGGATGGGAACTGCCCAGCGAGGCAGAATTTCCTCCATGCCATGACACAGCCCATGTGCCGTGGTGGAATGGGGTCTCCAGCCCCCTTAGGCTCTTCTGCTGCCTTTTGGGAACATCAGAGCCTCGGACTTTAGAGGCTTTTTTTGGAAAATGTCACCAGCTTGTGATGAGTCAGCCGTGCCTCTCTGCAGCCTGCCCAGTGCCAGGCGTGGGGCTGTGCCCACGGGCATCTCCCTGCTGCTCCTTGCACTCACATCTCCCTGCTCAGAGAGGAGAGGCTGTGCTGGCAGCCACGGGCAGGAGCAGAGCCGGGGGATGGCGCTGCCAGGGCCGTGTTTAGGCAGCCGGAGCCCCGGGGACAGACGGACAGACGGACACACGGGTGCTGCAGCTGCCATCCCCGGCTCAGGCGTTTCCAGCCCTCCGGGGATTCTCAGAGCCTGGCAGCGAAAGTTGTGCACCCAAATGACTCCAGAGGAAGGGGAATGGGTGGGAAAGTGCAGGGAATCTGGTCCTGCAAACACGGAGGGGTGGTGTGCGGTGTCCAGGTGTGATGGAAGGGATGCTCCTACTCCAAAAAAACCCAGAAATGTCAGAGCTGAGGTTGCTGATGGACCAGCTCCCTGTGCCTCAAGGATAAGGATATTTATGGGATCTTTTACCTCTCCTAACTCTGTCACACCCAGCTCAGGGATCTGCTATCCGATATTCCCTTGCAGCCTCACCATTCCTCATCTGTCCCCAAGTCCCACGGGAGTGAGGAGGGATTCCCTTCCCTTCCCAGGTAAAATCCCTGCCAGGGCCAGCAGCTGAGCACAGCCTCACATGGAAACACAGGGCACAGACACGTGGAGAGGTCCTGAGCCTGATCTCTCGGAATTCCTGGTGCAGGTGGGGGCACAAGATGTGTTTGAGCCCAGCTCCCGGTGATTCCAACCAGCAGCTCCCAGCTCTCCATCAGGCACCAGGGAAAGAAGGAACACAGTGATGGAGCAGGTGGGGGAAGTTTGGTTCAGGTGTTCTCAGCATCTTGCAAGGGCATGGAGAAAGGATAAAAATCCCAGTGTCCAGGGAAGGAAAATTAAATTAAATTAGCACCTTTTTCTCCTCTGTCCTCTTATCTCCATCGCTCCCGTGTCCCTTCTCACTGGGGGATGTAGGATTCTCCTTGCTCTGCACAGCCTGAGCTCTGTGGGACCTGCAGGTGCTGAACAGAGCAGGAGCCTTGTGGGAAAAACACATCCAATAATTGCTGTGAAAATTCATGTTGCAGTGCACAGACACAAAGGGATGAAAGGAGGCTGCCTTCACATCCTGACATTTCCTCCTTTCTGACTTCTTGTCTCAGGCATCCCGAACATCCTCTCACGGCAGCTTTCGCAGGCAGCTCCTTCAGACAAAGGAAAGGAAATGCGATTTCCAAAACTCGCTGATGGTGAGGGGCTCTGAGCTCTGCTGGCTGAGCTGGGCAGGTGACAAGGGTCACAGCTCCTTGCTGTCACCTCCCCAGCACCAAAACTCACAGATCCCACTGCAGGGAGCAGCTGGAACCCTGGCAGTGCCCACTCTCCTTCCCCACAGAGCACCTCTGGCACCAGCCAGCTGGGGAGGGGATGGAAGGGCAGAGGTTCTGCACTGAGCTCCAGCAGAGCAGCCCATCCTCCTGTGCAGCCCCCTGCAACCCCAGCCTGTCCGTGCTGGAAATTTCAAGTTGTTCTAAAGGCAGCAAGTTAACAAGATTTGGAAACCAGGTCAGTGGAAGAAGCTCAATTAGCTGCTGAACCGTGGGGACCAGCTCACGTCGTGGCTGCTTTATTGACTCCTCAGATGGGTGTCATTGACACCACACACGTCAGTCTGGCTGGGATGGGGGCTTTCCCTGAGGAGGGGACACCTGGGCACTCATCAGGCACAGGAAACATTACAAAAGACCAAACTCAGCACAGCCTGAGCCTTCCAACCGTGCTGTGTCATGGAATCACCAGAGAATTATAGAATGGCCTGGGTTGGAAAGGATCTTAAAGATCATCCATGGGCAGGGACAACTTTCATTAGCCCAGGTGGCTCAGAGCTCCATCCAGCCTTGGCCACTGCCAGGGATCCAGGGGCAGCCACAGCTGCTCTGGGCACGCTGTGCCAGGGCCTCCCCACCCTCCCAGGGAGGAATTTCTTCCCAATATCAAATCTAAACCTCCTCTAAAGCCACTCCCTCTTGTCCTGTCACTACATGCTCTTGTAAACAGCATCACTCAATCTTTCTTGTATGAGCAGCTCCATCCCCCCCATCCCTGCAGGAACCTCCAGGCTCCCACTCCCACTGCTCATCCTGCTCTCCCCTGGCACCTCAGGAGGAGGGGACAGCCAAAGGGGACAGGCAGCAGGGCTTGCAGAGAGCTGGCAGCAGCAGCACGGCTCACACGACCTGCTACCTGTCTTGTCACGTCACCACCAACATCTGCCGCAAATAAAAGAGCGAGAGGGAGGCGAAGCCAAAGGACCTCCCTGAGCAGCTCTCCAGCCCCAGCAGCGCCGGAGACGCGGCGCCTGTCACGCTGCATGAAAAACCTCTTTCATTAGTGGCAGGGCTGGAGCTCAGCTCCTGGAATCACAGCAAGAATCACAGCTTGGAATCCCAGCACAGCTTCCTGGGGGCTCTGCAGGCAGGCGGGCACAGCTCTGTGGGCACGGCTTTGTTCTGATAGAGGGCATTTCACCCATAAAACGAGGAGCTCAGGGTGTTGAAGCCCTTGCAGGGATCCTGGGCTGCTGGCAGCAGGGAAGGCTGCTCTGATCCCGAGGGAAGAGCCCCTCTCCATCCTGCAGCCGTGATCCCTGCCCCATCCTGGCGTGGCACAGACATCCAGGCTGCCAGGAGAGCTGGGGGTGCCAGCCTGGACAGCTGCAGGAGGGAATCTTGGCATTGCAGGAAATCCAGTTTACTGCATGAACTGCATCCCTCTGTCCTGGGACAGCATTTCTTGGATGCTGGAGAGCAAACAGGGCAGGGCAAGCAGCGGTGGCAGCCAGGGCTGGGCAGGAGCCCTGTGGCAAGGAGGGACCAGCCAGGGGGCTCAGGGGCTGCAGGACAGGGGGCAAAGCAGGGCAGGGGGGTGAAAACAGGGCAGCTGGAAGGGAAGGGCAGTGTGCAGGACGGGATGTGGGCAGAAGTGAGGGCAGAACAGAGGGCAGGACAGGGCAGGGCAGGGCAGGGCAGGACTGAAAGCAGGACAGGGCAGGGCAAAGCCGGGCAGTGTGCAGGACTGGATGTGAACAGAACCGAGTGCAGGGCAGGGGAAGGCAGAGCAGAGAAGGGCAGGGCTGTGGACAGAACAGAGGGCAGGGCTGGGCTGGGCTGAAAGCAGGACAGGGCAGGGCAAAGCAAGGCAGGGCAGGACTGCAGCCAGGGCGGGACAGAGCAGCGGGCAGGGCACAGCAGGGCAGGGCAGTGCCAAGGCTGAGCATCCCTCAGCCTCCTCCGTGTCCGTGCTGCCCATCCCTGCCCATCCCCAGCCGTGTCCCCGGGCCGGTCTCTGCCCGCGGGCGGTGCCGCCGGGCCGGGGCGGTGCCGGGGCGGTGCCGGGGCGGTCTCGGTTCTGCGCGGCCCCGCCGCCGCTCCCAGCCGCTATAAACGGGCGGCTGCGCTCCGCAGTGCATGGCTGAGCCCGGCCAGCCCTCTCTGCTCCTCCGGGAGCCTCCCCCGGGCCCGTCCCGGCCATCCCCCCGTGTCCCCTCCCCGCCAGCCGTGACCTTGGCATCCGCCAGCCCCGTGGCCAGCAGCCCTGGGATGCGTTAGGCGGCGGATCGCAGCGGGAATATTTCTCCCGGGAGAAGGAAGGAGAGCGGCAGGAAAAGCGGATTTAAAGAGCATCTTTGCCCCTTTGTTGGATGAGAAGGACGGGGAAGGAGCGGCAGGATGAGCACTAGCAGTGAGTACGGCGTCCTCTCGTCTTGGCTGTGGGAATGGGGCTGATACCGCACCGAGCTGGCTGGGAGGAATTGGAAAGAAAATGTCATAACAGCGCTGACAAGCCTAGTGGGATGGAATTTTGGGTTGTTTTCCTGCCTGCCTTTTGCTCGCCTGCTTTCTGACAGGCTCTGGCTCGGCTGTGTTTGATGTGGGCTGAGCCGTGGGGCTTATCTCCACGGAGTACTTTTCTTGGCTTGGATTTCTGGGGTTTTGGAGGGCAGAGCATCGACTGAAATGTCGATACGCAACATGGTGAGAGGCAGCCGGGAGCGCTCTGACAGGAACAGCCTCACTTGCTGCTGCCTCTGCCTGGGAAGAAATGGATGGGAGGGGAGGAGGAGAAGGGTGAGGACAGACCCAGAAACCTGAGCAAAGCACAGGTGCAATCCTGAAAAAAAAAAAAAAAAACAAAAACCAAACCTTCTGCAGCTGGGGGTGTGGGTGTTCCTATTGTGCGTGTGAGACAGGGACAGAGGCACTCATGCGCTGTGGATGAATTTCTAAAGAAGCAGAGCTCGGAAATGTGCTGCATAAGATGAGAACTGGCACCAGGCTGCTCACTTTGGATTCCGTGCCCTTGTTGGAAAGTCTGGGAGCATTGATCGGGGTTGAGCAAGTCACAATCCATCTCTTTCCCTTGCCTGACGTGCTGTGTGACGGCTGTGCCCACCTCGCTCTGGCACGGCTTTCATCCCTTCCTGTAAAAGCAGCGAGTCCCTGGTAAAGGAGTTGATGCTGATGGCCACCTGAGGGGCTTCCTCCTGGGATAACCTGTCCAGGGAAGCCCCCCTGCCCCTCCTCTGAGTCCTGGAGCTGCGTGAGGAGCAGAGCCTGTGACAGCAGAGCAGCAACTTCTCCATTGCATCGGCGTGCTGAGGTTTCTCAATCTCAGGGCTTGGGGTGGTTCCCCAGCAAAACACCGTGAAAAATGCCTTGGCACGCTCACAGAACAGGTGATTCCAGCTCTGTGGGGCTGTGGCAGAGGCAGAGGAAACTTTGCAGGTGCCCTGTGCCCGAGCCACACCTGGGACAGGAGCAATCCCCCATCCCGGGGGAGCGCTGCCTAGGTAGGAAACAATAGGGACTGATTCTTTCCTTGCCTGCAGGATGCCTGATAACAAAGGGTCCTCCCTCTGCTCCTCCGGGCCAGCAGCTCAGGCCTGGTGGGCTCAGTGGCCACCGTGGTCAGGTGGCAGTGCTAAGCTTCCTCTAAGCCAATTTTGATAAATGCCTGTTGGTTCCTTGTGGGATTCCTTCCCAGCTCTTAATAGCTGGCTTGGCTGCTGCAGGAGATAAGGGTGTTTATGGCACTGGGGTGTTCCAGCTATCTGATTGTACTGCAAAAACTCCTTCAGCTGCAGCCTCCCACATGCAGAGAGGTGCCAGGGAGCCGAACTGTGCTGCCTGATCCTCCTCTGCCCTGCCTCAGGGGGAGGCCACTGGGCAGAGCTGGGAGTCCCTCCAGAGCTGCTCCTCCTTCTGTGGCCCTGGGCACGTCACCCAGCAATGCCAGGGCTCTGCCAAGCCCTTTTCGGGGGGGCTTTGCAGTCTTTGCCTCAATTGCCATTACCTCGTTTTAAATAGCCACGTGTTTGAGTCAAGGCTTGGCAGCTCTGTGACATCTCCTGGTCACTCGGGGTGCTGGGGGGTGGTGATTTCTGGGTCACTCCAGGTCCCAGGGGTGTGCAAACCCTGCTGGGTGCTGGCCCTGTTGGGCTCCCAGGTGTTTTCCCAGCAGCTGGAGTGCTCCAGGCAGGGTTTGGGTGCCCGAGTGTTGCTTGACTTCTGTTCCCAGCAGTGGCTCTGTGAGCCAGGCTGGGGTGTGGGGCCATCTCTGCTGTTTTGGGACTGTGTGAGCACTGCCCAGCCCTGGGCACCCCTCCCCAGCCTGTAGCCCTCAAATCCATCTGCCCACGAGGCACAAAAAAAAAAACCAAATCCTGGGGTCCTTGTGTCAGTGCCACCTCTGTCACTCCTCCATGATGCCACCTGGCACTGACTTACCATGGCTTTTTTTACCCCTCTGCTGGTGGCCAGTGGAGTTTGGTGCCACTTGTCAGAGGCTTCCCACCCCTCCCAGCAGGGCCAGGTCTGCTGCTTTCATTTTTTTGGCTCTTTTTTCCCCCCAGGACAAGGGCTGAAGAAGCCAGGTTGGGTTTTGCACAAATTTCTGATGCCCAGCTGTGCCTGTGGGGCTAAAATTTTGGGGCTGACAAACCAAGGAGATGCACAGCTGAGGATAAAATGCCACCATCTGATCTGTGAATTCCCACCACTGCTTCCCATTTTTCTCTGGGTGCATTTTGTTAACGCTTCTCTCCTGCCTGGAGCTGATGTGAGGCAGGAAACCTGTGGCTCTGGGCCATGGCTGGCCCCAAGCCATGCTGGTGAGCAAATCTGCGAGGCCTCCAGGAGCTCTGGGCAGGATTTGCTGCGTTTATCTCTGGAGATGCTCCATGCACAGCACACAGGAGCCTCCCCAGCCTTTGCTGAGGGGACAGGGGGTTGCTTTTTCACCCTGGATTTGAAGAGCCCATGTCATCATCATGAAGGCAAAGCCAGATAAAAATTTTATATTTGAGGTGAAGAGATAAAACCACTTGATCTCGGGTATAAATTCCTATCCTGAGGCTGCAGAGCAGCTCAGATGGCCTCTGGGATTCCAGTGAGGGTTTGATGCTGACATTCATTAGGTTATCACTGCCTCTCACTAATTGGTTACAAATGGATCCCTACCTTAGCAAACAGGTCTGTGGTGCTCCTTGGCATTTCCTGGGAGCTGGAGCTTGTAGGACAAACCCTTGGCCAAGAGAACATTCCTTAAAATCACCCTCTGGAATCTCCTGTGCCTGCAGCCAGAATCCCCCTCGGAACGTGGGCAGGGAGTTTGATGTGACCAACGCTGTGTTTGTGCTGAAAGGGTTAAAGCTGTCCCTGCCCCGAGGATTTCAGCCTCTGAAATGAGTGGGAAGGATCCCTTCTGCTGCTTTGGAGGCAGCCAGCAGGTCTGGGTGCTGCAGGTCCGTGAGTGCTGTCTGTGAGTCACGCCGTGGGATTTGCACATCTCGTCCCTTTTGGCCCAGCTCCTTTGGGGTGGGAGAGGGGCTGCTGGTTTTCGTGAGACCCAGAACAGCCAGGGACACTGCTTTTGTCAGGAGCAAAGTGTCCCTGCTTCTCCTGGGTCCCAAAAGGGACATCCCAGCTCCTGGGGAGGTGAAACTCCTGGGTTTGGCACTGAGTGGTTGAGGCTGGTTCACAAACCCAGAATGTTCACATTCCCTTCTGTCTTCAATATGCACCTGGGGAAAAAAAAAGAGGCCAGAATCTGATGGCAACTCAACCCAGAGTGGGCTCAGCCGTTTATCCCCTTGCTTGGAGCAGCTGGGAGCTCCCCAAGAAGGTTTGGTATGCCAAGTGGAAAGTTTCATCCCTATCCCTGCCACCTCTCAAATTCCTCCAGAGGGGAATTTCCTACTCTGAGAAGGAGCTGTGAGGAAAGGCTGGCCAGCATTTGGGAAGGGGAGGCTTCCTGACAGATCCTGATGAATGCAGCATGTTTGCCTGGTTATTTTTGTCTTCCCTAAATCGTGCTTGCTCTTAGATCGTGATCCTCTAAGCGTAATTACCCCCTAATCTCCAGGCACATGTGGTTACAAGGTGTTTACCAGCAAACTCCATTAAGGCCCTGTGTAATTAAAGAGGAATCCTGTGGTGCTGCACATCCCTGGGAGCTGCAGCTCTGCTCCTTGGGCAGGTGATTCACCAGGTGTCCCCACCTGGGAGGGTCGTGCAGGGAAGTTTTTCAGAAATTCAGAAATGCAGGGAGCCCAGAGGGATCCAGCCTGTGGATGTCATGAGCAGGGTGTTTTCTAGAATTTGGGCACCAAGGGGAACTCCCAGACTCCCTGCCTGCATTTTAGTCCTCTCAATCCCCTGACTGTGACAAACACCCAGACACAAATCATTCCCTGTTTTCCTGGGCAGCCTAGCAGAGGGACAGTCACCCATTGCATTTGCTTTGCTGCCAGAGAATTCCAGAATGGGCTCTGTCCTCTCTCCAGGCTTCATCCAAGCTCTTTCAAACCCTCTTTCCTGGCAGCTGGCCCTTGGAAGAGCAGGAGCCCCAGAAAGTGGCCCTGCAGGCCAGTGGAGTGCATGCTGTAAGGTCAATTGAAGTGATTGAATTCTTCTAAAATAAAGAGAACATTTTCTAATCATTGAGTGACAACTGGTTCAGCAGGATAACAGCATTTGGGATGGCAGCAGGCTGGGCTGATGACAGGAGTCTGTTTGCTGCTGCCTTTGCTGGGAAGGAGGGAAGAAAAAGCCCACCCAGCTCCTGCCAGACCCTGCAGTCCTGTCGTGATGGGGCCATCACGAAGTGGTTGAACACCTCATTCAATATTTTTAGTTGTTAAATACATCAGAGCATGAGCTGTGAGCGCTGCAGCACCTCCAGAAAGCATCTGGGGGTGGGGTGGTCAAGGCAAGAACTGGGGTGAGGAAGGATGGAGAATTTTGCAGGGTGAAAGGGAATATGGAGGGAAGGCCCAGGTGCCTCAAGCTCAGGGATTTTGGCTGTGGGCAAGGCTGGCAGGGGGACTGGAAGCCTGGAGCAGGGAAATTGGTTGTGCCAAGTCCTCCTGTGCCCAGCACCTCTGGAGTCAGGGGGCTCAGTGCATCCTTGGGGGGGTAGAACAGCTGGAATACACTCCAGGCTTCCAGGAAAAGGCTGATTGAGGTTTAGCAAGCCCAAAGTGATCCCTCCCAGGAGCAAACTCTGCTGCACAGGCCCCATTTATTTGCTGGTGGCTCAGGTATTTGATAGGCCCCAGTTCCTGGGTGCATTTGTCAGCTCAGGTGGAGTTTTCTGAATGCTTTATCAGTATCAGCCATAAGCCCTGGCCTGGGAATTGATGAGCTTTCTCCACTGCCTGAGGGCTGAGAGCAGAAAGAAAA